CTACGTAAACAAGAGAACATATGCATTCTATTATTCTATTATTCTATTACGTGCGGTGCAATGTACGCGTGAATAAATCCTAAAATTCAAAATCTGTGTAGGGAGTTAGGTTTACATGCGCACAGCAGCAACATGTATGTGTATGACCGTTCGTGTGTGGTCATTGAAGTGAACACGCGAGTATGGTAACACCTACGTGGTGGTTCGAATTTCTCACCTTGAGTCTGATTCACACTCAGCATGCTCATGAATTTCTCCTTCATATCTTTTAAGCTAAGCATCTTCTTCTTCCTAATTCGTTTAATCACGGACAGATACGTTGCCTCGCGATCATTATTTTGATGGTACTATAGCAGACGAGTGAGTATACACGCGCGCGCACCATCCGCACTACACACAATGGTAACCGAACTGTAATAAACTATAGCCAGCATACACTTCGCAGTCACATCTGTCTGTATAATTTACAGCTGACTGAATATATCGACAGGCGATCTCGCCGAACACACGCGCACGAACATCGAAAATGAGTGGAATTCGTCCCGGGCAGAGACCCACGCAGTGACAAATAAAACCACACGTTGGTTGAACATCATCATGTGGATATATCGCTCGCACACTCACGACGCAGGAGGCAAACCCGCAACACATGTCCTTGCTCCATCGTTTTTCAATCGCGCAGATTCACCAATATACTACAATCCACACGTTTACCACCATATAGCTAAAAACAGATCCGCAATTTGCTCCACATTACAAGCTATTGCCTAGCATTCACGAACATATCTCGGTGAAATATCCTCTGCGGGTTACATTTCCCTGTCCGTTTGTATGCGCACGTGTACGTGCGTTGTTCTCAAACAGAAATCGGTAATCACGCGCTCTGTGTGGCAGAGCGCCCCGGATGCGCGAGAAAGAATTTCACGAGCTGAAACTGAAATTCGTCGCAACTCGCTGTTTTATTCGGGAACCGGTTTACGGCTTTATCGCGCTGCTCAGCCAACAGACCTTGCACCGCGTCGCAATTATTGTTGCTCAACGATAATATCAGATGCGCATAGCGAAGGACTGTAACCCTGGCTCCCCTCAATACGCGCTCTTACTGGTGTTGGGGTACGAAGTAGCCCCTATGCTTAGCCCATATATATATATATTGGTAGTACTGGGAGGAAACCACGCGCGCGCTGAAGTTTTAATGTGGATGTGTATTACAGCGACACTCGGTGAACGGGTTACGAAACTAGTCTCTCGTCGCCCCGTCGCGAATCCAGGGTCATTCGGCCAGCGGCGCCATGGCAACAAGGGCAGCCATAGTACGGCGAGTGAATTTCCTTCGTGAGTTCCTTATCATGGGGAGAATCTCCCGGGATATTGTAATTGGCGGGTTAGCGCTGAACGCGAATCCCTTTTAAAGTCGGAAGAAATCTGTTTTAAGCTTTAATTGCGTCGAGATTACTTCGGATAATCTTATCTATTCATCTCTATCTTCTATCTCATCTTATTTCGACCGCGTCAATCTTCTTGCTCGTGATTTTGGTTTTCGCGGCAAGGCCACTGTTCGCGGTTGGCGATTTTTTTTTGCTGAAATTGTTTCGTAAATTGCTTAACCCGACGGCGCTTCTATGGCAGTCAATGAAGATTCAGCTCTTACATGGACACGTCGACGTGCTTCGGATGCGGTAGCGACATCGGCGCCGGCGAAACGTTCTCATCAGTAAAGATGAACAGCGAGGGGCAGCAGAAGCGCGCAGGTTTTTTAAAGGCTGGATAACAACGATGACATTGACGTCAGCCGTGGATCGAATAAAACACCTGTACCTATATAACTACACCTAATCCCCCAATCTAGCTAGACGCACGCACGCGGGAGAAACGGAGGCAACGTCCATTTGCGGCTAATGTTGCAAAAACGCGCCCTTCACAACACAGCCATTCCACTTGTAGCGAGTTTTCCGGCTGGGAATTTTTTTCGGCAATTTCGGAGTTAACGTGAACAAGGGCACAATGCATTCCCCGCGGGGCTTTGATAAATGGGAGCATCTCTCTACGCAAACGAAAACAACATCGCGTGTGTAATTTAGCGGTGATGATATCCCCGCAAAAACAAAGCTAAACATGAATAGTGCGTCGACATTGCGTTCACTTTTCGTGGTATATTGATGCGTGGTCACCGCGATATCAATCAATCTTTGCTTCGCTATATAGCTAAACTAGGAAGGAGATATGCTAGTTTTACATTCTTAATTCGATTCACACACGCGCGCGCACACGGGCGCGCACACACGCACGCACGCACACACCAACCTGTTCTGCTAGCAACTATGACAAATACGACATACCCATAAACGCTCTCCTATGACACATAAAACGCGATATAAACCTTGAAACTGAAGTCAGCTTTTGTGTTAAGTCTATCTGATCAAAATGTGTTTTCCACAAAATACTTGCGTAGAAAACTACATTGATTAGATACATTTAATGAAATTTGGAGGATCGCAGTTTTAACTAGGAAGCCAAGTCGGCGCCAATCGCATATAATTCAAGTGAAGAAATATGCATCCGCTCATTCGAACATTTTAGATTTTCTAGTCAACGCGAAACATCGCGAATCAATCTTGCCTTCGTTCTTGAATCGCACTGATTTTAAGGAGCATCCCCAAATAGTGCGTTTCCGCTTCGCGTGAGAGCAAGTGTGTCCTGCATTACTCCCAGCCGAAAACTGCCGGGCTCACTAACCGTACTATACGAATGCAATTTCCACCAATCAGAGAGCGCTATCCTACTGCACTCGGTGCTGCTGAACTTATTTCTGCAGCCGGCTGAAAGGGGTGATAGGATATGTTTACTAGGCACTTCTAATTTTAACATATATTTTACGATATATTAAAGAATGATGAAAAAACCCTAAAAAGTGCCGTAACCCTAACCCTAACCCTAACCCTAACCCTAACCCTAACCCTAACCCTAACCCTAACCCTAACCCTGACCCTAATTAAATTTAAAATATATGTTAAAATTAGAAGTGCCTAGTAAACATATCCTATCACCCCTTTCAGCCGGCTGCCTTATTTCTCGTCTCTTTCTCCGCGTAAAAACGACTCCTGTCTAACCTCTAGGTGGCGCAGCATGTCATATCGAAAGTATCAACGGGACCACCCCTCTTTTAATCTCGTGACAGAGTGTTGATCGTCGCACCGAAATCGGGTATTCGGATACAATCTATGGTTAGCCGAGGAAAAGCAAACCAGTTACAAACAGAAATTAGTTCGTTCAACCGGCATGCACCAATCTCTTCAAAAGATGTGTGTAATCAAAGCGCGTTTTACTTGCGATAAACCGTTTCTCAAACACAACTCAATTTACGACGGTAACGCGAACGATTAGTGAAAGTATCCAGTGACGGAGCGAGAGCAAAACGTACGATTGAACGAGTTCAGTGCTACTACTACGCATAAACACATCCGCGCTAATCTAAATAGACACTAGAATGTAAGTCGTAAATGTGTTTAAAGTGAACGCCTCATTTGCCTCTCGCGTCCCGCTGTTAGCACGCCACTTGCTCGTCCCGTGTGAATGGTTGAACAATAGTATCCACACATTGGTTGGCCGCAAGTGGGTTCATCCCACTTCCCCACCGGTGCCTGAACTTACTGGCTTAGTGACCGATGAACCTTGCCGGAGATGAAACAGCGTTTGAAGTAATAACGAGAATGTAAACAACTACACGCGAAGTCTTTTTTACAGTGTCCGGCTAATGTTTAGCTTCATAACATATAGTAAACGTTGTAGTCGTCGTGCATTTCACACATATGCAACATTAGATTCACTTTCTTTTAGATTATCATATGAATTGGTAATTTGTAGAATGTATCTGCTCTAAACAAAATTATAAGGGAAAAATCCCCATCCCGCCTAAATTTCTAATCAGTATACGTAGTCGCAAAAAAAGAATAGCATGTTATTACACCACCACTGCGGAGGAATAACTTTCGAATACAGGCACCCACGGACGCATGCACGCACGCACGCATTCACGCACGCACGCACGCAGGCACGCACGCACGCAGGAACAAACGATCGCACGAACGCACGAAAACACGAACATACGAACCCACGCACGCACGCACGAACGATCGCACGAACGTACACCCGTACGCACGCACGAACGTACACCCGCACGCACGCACGAACGTACACCCGCACGCACGCACGAACTCACGGGCGCACGAACGCAATCATACCCAATCCAACAGACTCCACTGATTGCTGATACTTTATGCAGCATGACACTATATGGCGTGAAAGCTTCACGGCAATATCATCAGTTACAACACGAAATTCGCAACCCTCACACGTGAAATCCAAAAACGAATTAACTGCAATTATCATGATCTATTATGCAAATACCAGTAGTTCTCTCACTGATACATTCATAGTGGAAGCATGTGTAATCAAGGCCCATGTATTAGTCTACCCATCAATGCAATTACAAGACAAATACTAATCATTAGCGCATATTTACCAACACTAATTATTGCAATTAGTAGTGAGTACAAGAGCATACGCGCAAAGTGCAATGATACCTGCTTATTCCTCGCGATTCACAGCGCTACCTGGCGGACAGACCGGGATGAACCTCTGCCGTCTCCCATGCACCAACCAGTACCAGCAACCAGATATATCACGGTTTGATAACACAATAGCTCATTGCATTTCGGGTGATGTTTCTTGATTATATATGCATGGTATATAAATACGTGACATACATGAGCTCTGTGTATGTCGTATATTCACCTAGGGTCCTAGGGATATCATTTGGAATCCATTAATAATAATATATGATAATGTATCCTTGATTTCGCCAATAATCATCATTTGCAATCCATTTCCCATAAATGCTATTGAGCTGTTCAGGTAACATTTATTTACACGTGTATGTGTGTTAAATACGCTCACGTAAGATTACACACAGAAGACTCTTTTATGCTCAATGAAAATGT